TTCAGGAACATGAAAAACTTAGCTCATTCTTTTATCTCTCTCTATATAAATATAAACATATATAAAAGAAAGAGCTAGGTTTTTCATATTCCTGAAGTGTAGACTTTAAGAACAACACCAAAAATCATGACAGCTGGCAACACTGCTTACCCCTTATAGAAAGGAGGCAGCAGGAGAGTATCAGTGTGGGTTCTGTATATCACTAGATGGTCTCTGGGCTACAGTGAAAGACTCTGGAAAATGGGTAAAATTATTAGGATGATGTAACTGCCTCACTTAACATCAGGATGGGATAAAGGCAAGGTGATGTCCTACATGTAACATGGCTATGGAAAAGTGGTATAACCATTGCAGAATTCTAGGAATGGGATGAAATGGACTGCACTATCTTTTTTGGATATGCTTATGATATGGCTATCATAGAGGAGACAGAAGACGTAGTGGAAAGGCAGGTGGAGATTTGAAAGAAATGGAAAAATAATGGGACTATAATTCTTTCTGAAGATAAAACCAGATACATGATTGTAAAGCAACAGGGTGATTGTAGACAAGCAATTAATAACCACAGGCATAAACAGATTAGGCAGTTTAATGCCTATGATTATTCATTAATAATAATTTGAGAAAAGAAATTAAGGCACAAGTACAGAATGAGGATTCAGAAAAGTAGTAGTTTCAAGCTAAGAAAGACCAAGCTTCAGACAAATGAGACAATTATAATGAATATTATTTAATATGAAAATAAGAACTGAATAATTACTAAGAAAGGAAACATAACTGAGTAACTCCTTATGATAATTTTTGAGGCCAGTGAGGGAAATGATGTATGGAGAAGCTCTAAAAAGGAATTGTGGGACTTCTATTAAGACAATGAATCGGCAATGTAGTAAAATTTTAATGACTTCAGTGCCAAGGAATGTGATTCAAATAACAGAAGACAGACCAGGGAGGCATCTTTTGGAAGGCCATTCTTAGGGTGACTGACCCTGTTGAAAGGATGGATGGATAACTGAACAAGACTTAAAGGCTCTCAATGATAATTGCCAACAATGGGAAAATATGCCCGTAGTAGAAAGAGGAAAAAATTGTGAGAACAGCCAAGCAACTCTTAGAGTCCAAGGAGGCAGGAAAAAAATAAGTGACACCAAAGGGGTTATTTAAATTTAATCAAGTTACTGTGAATTTTAGAGCGTTGCTCAGCTCTAATGCTGTGGTTCTAAGTGAAACTTCTGTCTGCAAAGCATCTATTTTAATTAAGACTTCTTAAAAAGTTTGCACATTGAGCAGAAATGACAGATCATTCTGAATATGCTAAATTAATATCTCTTTAGGAAGAATTTCATGCAACATTTATTCATGGGAGATAAGCTATTAAAAGTCTATTTGTATGAAATTCCTAGACAATTGCAGAAAAGTGGCTGTGCATTCAACCACTCACCAAACTGTGACTGAAAGGGTGATGTGTATACAATTCCACAGCTTTTCTGTTCCTGAACAAAAACAGGCATAACGTGGCCTGAGACAAATGTAATACCTGTCCGTGGCCCTAAAAGTGAAAGCTACCCAATATAGGGTATAAAGCAGAGTTTACACAGATACAGAAAACCTCCGTACAGGAGTGAATTCCACTCTGAAATGCTAGTTAAAAGTGTTGCAAAGGGAATGGGACAGTAATGGTGCCTGATGAGGGAATTCTCCTGAAGAATGACATAATTGTGTATTGCTGACCACTATATAAAGTATATAATCTGACCATCAGTATAAAGAGCTCCCAAGTATCTTAAACTATGTCCATCCTGGAAGATACTTGTTGCAGCTTTTATAACACTTATGACTGTATATGACTAAGGCCACATAAGTGAGTACTAACAATTATTAATAGGTCACACTGTTTTTTAATCCTCCTCAAAATGCTAAGATCAAAGGGACAATAGAGTATGAGTAGTAAATGAATTTCTGGTTCTGTTTTATTTTTTGCATGATCAAATTAGGTTATTACACCTCAGCCTATATTATAAAAAATATAAAACATATTCAACTCCAGTGCAGTGCTTTGTAGCATCCAGTTTTGATAACAAGCAAATTTTTAGATTTTCATACAAATAGTCACACTAAAGTCAATAGAATCATTTTGTAAACCACAGTCACTAGTAGAGAACTGTATTTTCAGCTGATACAAAATCTAATTATGAAATACAGTTAAAGAACATCAAATTATTTTTTTCAGGACATAACCTTTGTTAGGAAAGGATCACAGTTCATGGAGCTATAGCAATGTAAGAGACCTCAAGAGATAGTTTCATAGTTTCTAGGGTCGGAAGGGACCT